CCAAACCAGAACCAGTTTCGGTTTAAGTTTTATTTTTGACGTGCTGCATGTTTCTTCACATTTGCAGTTTAATAATAATAACTAATAGTTTAGTTTTTCCTGTGACTTATTTGCAGTATGATAAATGGTAGGAGCATAATATACGCTCCCAATATTTTGTTGGTCTTTTTTTGTAAATAATTACCTTTTTTATGCAGTTTTATTTATTTATTTATTTTTGTATCTTGAGATCTATGACGTCATCAAATACTCGAGTTCTACTCGGGTTTTATTATGTTAATGTCGAGTTTAAAAATTATATACTCGTTCAACCCCTAGTGTGTACCTTATGTGTGGTTTTGTCTAAAACAGGTTTGTTGAAAATGAGTCCTCGTGACTAAGAGCATGAAACTAATCTGCATGAATAAAGGTTGAATGAAAACTGGTGAGGAGAGATTTAAATGGACTGTACTTATATAGCGCCTTTCTATCTGATCAAGATACTCAAAGCTCTTTACACTACAATCTGTGTCTCATTTACGCATTCATACAGCACTCTACTAGATCTCTACACAGCTAATTGAACAAATCATTCTAAAGAGACTAATCAGTGCTTTAACACATACATACACCGATGGGACACACATTACCATCAGGGTTAATAGACAAACTTGTTGCAAATTGTTACATATTAGGAAATACATATATCTATTCTAGACGGCACTTACTGTCATTGCTTTGGACCCAAAAAACACAATTACAGTGCTGTAATTCTGCAACATTCCCAAACAAGAAGCAAAGGCTTTTGAAGCATGGTGACACAATCACATTCTTCTTCAAATCTCTTTCCTCACACTCCAGAAGTCCCTGCTTTTGTACAATTTGCTACATTGCACCTTCAATGTCTTCACTTCACAATGTCTTTTTCAAAGCACTTGTTGTTCCTAATTGCCCTCACAATTTTTTTTTCTTAAAAACTTTCTTGCCAGCATTTTGTTTTCTGTGAAAAACAAACTCTGTCAAGAGTGATGGAAATGACACAATGTCACTGCCTCATGAAATAAATGCTTGTTGTAGTCACATGTGATGTATCCTCTTGTAGCTATTATTTTTAAACATTTGCTTTTACAGACTTGCTATGGCACAATAGAGCACAGTTTTCCCTTTCATATTTCTAATACTACCAGACACTTTTAGTCAAAAACATAACAGATTTTGACTTATTACTACAAATTCTTGATCCAAAATATAAAAGGATTGGTAATCACAAGAAACACAAGAAGTTGGCAATGTATAAACTTTATATAAAATTTATTTAACGCTGAGATTCCTTTGTATTTCTAACATTGACAATATATTTTTAAAAATATATTTAGTTTTTGTTTTCAGCCCAATTGCTCAACAAGCTAGTGGGGGCCCGTCCATAGGAGGGAAAGTTAATTTGTCCCACAAAATATTTCCCACCATTAATCCATTTTCTTATCTGATTTTTCGTTTTTGGGTCACGGGGTTCACTGGTGCCCATATCCAGCAGTCACTGTGTGAGAGGCGGGGGACACCCTGAACAGGTGTCCAGTCCATCACAGGGACACTTAGAGACAACTAGACAAACAACCATTCACCCTCTCTCTCACACCTACAATTTAGTTGCCAATTAGCATAAATTGGATGTTTCTGGTCTGTGGGAGGAAACCGGAGAACCCGGAGAAAACACATGCATGCATGGAAAGAACATGCAAACTCCACCCAAGTTCCCTGGCCAAGATTCGATCTGGCGACCTTCACCCTGAGAACCTCTCACAGAAGTTCTACTGAGTCAATTACTTATTTACTGAGCTTGATGTGTATTGTTTTATTCTGTGTCTTTTTCAACTATTTCATCCATCCGTCCATCCATCCATCTTTACCCGCTTATTCCATTTTGGGTCACGGGGGTCGCTGGTGCCCATGTCCAGCAATCACTGTGCGAGGGGCGAGGTACACCCTGGACGGGTCGCAAGTCCATCACAGGGCCACATAGAGACAAACGAGACAAACAACCATTCACTCTCTCACTCACACCTAGGGACAATTTAGAGTTACCAATCAGCCTAACATGCATGTTTTTGGTCTGTGGGAGGAAACCGGAGCACCCGGAGAAAACCCACGCATGCACGGAGAGAACATGCAAACTCCACCCAGAAAGGCCCCTGGACCGGGGTTTGAACCAAGGACCTGCTCGCTGAGAGGCAGCAGCTCTACCAGTTGCGCCACCGTGCTACCCTATTTCAACCATTTTATATTGAATTTTAAATTATTTTTAGCGATTCATTCACAGTATTTTTTACTGTTATGGAGCAGTACCGTTCACCGATCCATGTTCATCAAGCGGACTGAGCCATGCCACCAGTGATCCAACCAGCCAGCTCCAATAGAATCTCATTTGGGGAGTCAAATGTTCTTCACTGTGGACACATCCGACTGGATTTAGCACAATAATACAACATCTACGAACACTAGACCTGACGCACACAGAGCTGCAGTGAAACCTGCTGTGTCCAACAGTGGAGATATTCTGTCTATATCCATTTGGAACAGAGGGGACCAGAAGAGACAACTGAGCACGACAGAGGAGAGACAAAAACCAGAACAGTTTTGCTCCTATGGTAGGACCTTATTTAACAAGTTCTGTTGCGAGCATGTCTGTGTAGCTGACAGGTCAATGGTTAAATCAGTGGTCTTGTAATCTGGAGTCTGTGAGTTTGATCCCTGCCTGGATCATTTACTAATTACTATTTTTATTAAATTATTTAAGTTATAAATGATATATTTCACAACACAATGATAAACTTACAGTCATTTAAGTAGATGGAAAAACCTGAAAGGAACATACTGATCTTCTGGTTACAGGTCAGTATTCTCAAAGCTGAAACTGAAAATCAGAAGTTGCTTTTTGGAAAGAATAATGAATATTTAGAGTTATTAACATATAAACTTGTATATTTATAAATTGACTATGTTTTAACATAGTAAATTCCTGTGTTTTTCTATAAGGATACCTATTTTCAGCCATTATCATTGTAATCCCTTGAAACCCAAACATCACTGGATGGATCACCATTCATTAGCTGTTCCAGCTAATGAATGGTGGATGAATCTAACAAGGTTGAGTTGAGTCCTGAAGACTGAAGAAGTCTCTTGGATAAAAGATTAAATGTTTCAACAAAGAAGAATCCGTCCAGAGGAACTGACTCAACTTTGTTGAACACAGGAGTTGGTTTTCCTATTTTTTTTTCCATGTGTCTCACTTTATCCCGATCCTGTTGTTATTAAACTATGGTTGTGTGCTGAAATGGTTGAAAACAAAGACAATTTTAAACAGTAATGAAAACAATTCTTTGGGGAGAATCTTTAGCCAGGGTAAATTATTTGTCAGTTTTTTTTAATATGTTGTTAATGTGAACATTTTCACCACCTACTGTCTTGGCCAGGGTATTTAAGTATTTTTTTAGAATGTACTGTATGCACAAACATTTTAATAAACAATCAAAAAAGTCAATTTAAAATACAGAGAAGTTCACACAGAGTATTAATGCACAGATATAGAAATTATTATTATTATTTTATTTCTCTGGAATAAGTAGCTCCCTGTATGGTTTTTCTGGTTTAGCCTCTCAGCCTTGACTAAGTCTCAGTGTGTGACATGTTATAACCATTATTCTGCAGAAAGCAGTGGGCATGTGTTCACCACTGAGGTGCAAATTGAGAAGCACTTTTGTCGCAGCTACAGAGGGTCTGTAATTATTCGCCACGGGGGACATATTAGAACATGAAGCCAGTGTCACTGTCATAACAGTCACAATGCATACAAGCTGCTACTGCTGCAAACCCCACTGCAGAGTTCAGCTCATAACAGAGCTGCAGTTTGTGGAATAAGCCTCTGAGAGCTTGTTCAGTATACTATATGTACTTAGGCCTGTTACGATAACAAATTTTGCTGGGCGATTAATTGTCTCAGAAATTATTGCAATAAACGATAATATTGTTTGAAATTTTACAATAATTAGTAATTATTGTCAAATTTAAGAAGAAATGTTTATTTGTTTTGCATGTAGTACCTTTTTTCAACCACCGGATGGCAGTATAAGACTGTTTAAACCGAAGGATGGATAGTGAGGGAGCGAGGAGCGTGTCTCTTTAAGAAAAATGGGAGGGAGGCCCCTTGACGTGACATGGGTCGTCTCTCTCCAGTTCTCAAAACGGCGAACGCTCGGTGTGGTTTGAGCTCTTTAGCATAGCATTTTTTCACAATAATAATAAACAATAACAATAATAACAAAAATCAGTAAACAAGTTCTCAGCTTCTTTTTGCAGAGAAAAACAAACTTTTTACACAAAGACACGGGTTTCAACCGTGAATTTTTGAGCTTCGACAAGACGGAGGTGTTTTCCCGAGGTCGGCCTGTTAGCTTAGCTCGTAGCTTAGCTTCTCAGCTTAGCTGCTTTTAACGATCCAAAAATGTGACTTTGGACAGTTCCGTTTGTCATCCAGTGTCTTCAGAAAGAGAGAGAGAGACACAAAAAAACGATAAAGCCGATAAATTAAAATGAGGTCGATCATTTTCATTTATCGTGATTAATTGATTTATTGTTTATCGCGACAGGCCTACATGTACTATAATTACAGCAGTGAGCTACACAGTTCCTCTTGAAGTGCAAGATGATGGTATTGTTGTACAAACACAAAATTAAACACTTATGCAAGATTTGATGTTTTAACAGCAATCATACACAAAAGCATTACACAATGTTAGTTAATATTGTGAGACTTCTTCAAACTGATTTAAATAGATGTGTGAAGAGAAATTAATGACGGAAGAAAACTGACAAGAGGATCAAAGGCAAAGAAAGAACCAATAAAAGAAAAATGGATAATCAAAGTTGATAAAATGGATAAAAAATTGATAAAAACTAGTGTATTTGTTTGGATGAAATTGTGAAAGCACAACATTCTATAGAAACAGCTGCAACAGTAAATTTACCTTGCTGGTTGAGCTGCTGTGTGCTTCTGCTCCACTGTGACAACCCCACAATGGCCACCATTTTGGCACCCAGACTGGAGCGCCGTTTCTTGTTGCCAGACAACGATGCTGAATCTGGACCCCCATTGCTCTGACTTTTGTCCAGGCTGTACATGGCCCCCGAGATGCTGGAAGAGCGCACCACGTTCCGAGCCGCTGCGCTCAGTCCGCTGAGGCCACTCATACCGCCTGGGCTGGGCACCTCCACGGAGCTACTGAGCATCATGGTCCTGATGAACTTGGAGGGCCGATGGGCTGACGGAGAGAGGAGGAGCCGGAAAGTGGGAATGGGGCTAAAGAAAAAAAAAATACAAAAGAGTATAAAAATAATTAACGGGAATAATCTAAGTGCAAGCATAATATTGAAATATATACTGTAGCTGCAAACAGAGGTTTACATACACCTTTAACATGGATAGCACACCAGTTTTTGCATTTAATGATTTATTTCAATTTTTTTCTGAGTGTAATGATTATACAACATATAACTAATATTTGTTTAAAGAGCTACAATTTATATTTACTGTATATTTTTCCTTATTCCTTTTCCCTTCCTTCAAACATCTCCCACCCCATGCATGAAGCTGTTGCTGAACTGGACAGCTCGTTCGGTGACAGATTACTGCATCATAAATGCACAAAGGAGCGTTACCGCAGGTCCTTCCTCCCAGCAGCTGTTAGACTCTACAACCATCACTGCTCCCAACAAGCTCAATAAGGATTAAATACATGCTGACCTCTGCTAAAACACACACTCTGCCTATAATACTGTATTGTAAATAGTCTGCCATTCTCAATATTCCAACACATATTGATCATTATTATTGATATTGTTTATCTTATTTCTTTATATATTGTATTGTTTATTAACATTTAGGAACTTTTGTGTGAAATCTTTTTATCTTTTGCTGCTGTTACACTTGAATTTCCCATCCATGGGACAATAAAGTCTGTTTCTATTCTTATCATCAGCGGGTCAAAATTATATATACACGCTCAAATATATACTCACGTTCACCTAAATCTGTTAGTAAGTGTTGCTGAAGATCCTATTATGGTTTTAACTTGGCATGGCCAATACAGAGTGGCACAGTGTCACAGTTGGTAGAACTGCTGCCTCTCAGTGAGAAGGTCGCCAGATCAAATCCCAGACAGGGGCCTTTCTGGGTGGAGTTTGCATGTTCTCTACGTGCATGCCTGGGTTTTCTCCAGGTACTCTGGTTTCCTCCAACAGACCAAAAACATGCATGTTAGGCTGATTGGTAACTCTAAATTGTCCCTAGGTGTGATTGAGAGAGTGAATGGTTGTTTGTCTCGTTTGTCTCCATGTTTCTGTGATGGGACTGGAGACCTGTCCAGGGTGTCCCCTACCTCTTGCACAGTGACTGCTGGATATGGGCACCAGTGACCCGATAAGCAGGTACTGGATGGATGGATGGATGGATGGATGGATGGATGGATGGACGGACAGACGGACGGACAGACGGACAATACCCATAATTTTCTCTGGTAGTTTGACAGCACAGATTGGATCAACAAATGCTCTGTGATGGGGAAGTCCAAGGAATTTAGTGAAATCATTGAGGCTCAAGCCTGCTATGAACTGGAAACTGCTGGAACACCAGTGTCAGTACCTAAAACACGGCCAGTTTAACATGGTCACAAATTTTAAGGGAGCCAACAAAGAAGCCTCTGCTTTAAAAACGGCACCTTAAAGCTCATCTGATACTTGCAGATGTCCCCACTGACTAACTGAATGCAGAAATGTTTTTGGTCAGATGAGATAAAAATTTAGCTATTTGGCCACAATGGTATGTTTCGAGGCTGATCCATCCATCCATCCATCCATCCATCCATCATCTTTAACCACTTCTAAGAACAAGCTTTCAAAGTTAAGAACACTGTTCCAATTGCCAAGCATGATGGTGGTAGCATCATGCTGTGGTACTGGTGCATTGCACAAAATAAGTTACTAAAAAAAATTTTTTTTAAAAGACTACCTCCAAATTTTTTAACTAGACTTTAAGAAAACCAACAAAGAATTTAAACTTGCGCACCCAATTCTTGTTTATTAATGATGTAAAATCATTCCACTCAGGAAAAGACTGCTTCAAACTGAAGTCCACAGCAAAGTGTGTGTTGCTGTGGACTACCTCTTAACTGAGGAACATTAACGAAGTGGCAGCACAAACAACCTCCTAAAGGACAAAAAAGTAAAAAAAAAAAAAAAAACTTCCCAAAATCATTTTGATATTCAGAAGTTTTGAAAACTGAGAAAACAAAAGAAGCAAAGGTCAACCAGCGAGGAACGTACTGACGTATACAGACCATTCAAGCCAGCGAGGAAACACACCCAGCCTCTGTCTCACACACAAACACACCAACTAAATGTCAAGGCTGTCCTGCTGTTGGAGGGCGACCCTGTCATCTGCTATTAGTCTGTGGGATTTTAATTTTTTTAATCCTTTTTGTTTCTGACCTTAAACAGTGACAGCTGATCACATCTGTCATCTCCAGTTTGACGAATTGTGGAAAAAGTTTATTCAGGAGACTCAGTAAACTAAAAAACTTTTTTTTTCCTAATCACAGACATCACAACAATAATTACTTATATTATCCATTACCTGATTAAATTAAATGCACAGAAACATGAATGCAAAGTAATCAACTCTTTTGATAATAATTTTCTGCTATGAGATCAAATGTCACTCCAGCAGGAAGATCTGACTTATCACTGCAGTAATGGAAATTTTCTGGTTTTCTAAATCCTTTGTTACTTTCTTTATTCTCTCTTTCATGCCATCACATTGATTTAATCAAAGCTAAATAGACGGTCACGGGGCAAATGAAATGTGTTGATACGGTGTGCTACAACACTGCTTTTAATATTCCTTGTTCCTCACCACCATCCTTCCATTAAGGAAATGTTATTACAACTCCTGCTGAAGCTGCAGCACACACGCAAGTAGGTAAATGGTCTACAGACAGAATAAACTATTCCTGCTAAATGCTAAAAACAACAGTGGAAAAAAACAAGGTGTTTATTCATATTAGTGTGACCGTTTTATTATGCTGACTAATTTAGTGCTTGTGAAGTTTCTCGTCCGTGTCGCACATCTACCGACTTTGCAAATGATTGATGAAGCATTCTTGGTCAAGGCACAAGTGCCTGACATTAAAATGCATCTGATGGCTGGTTTTATATCCTAGACTACCATTTTTAAATCCCATTCTCTTAAACGCTCAAAGTTTTACTGTTTTGGATTTTAATATGGTCTGATTATTTAATTCACTACTTCCTATTAGTTTGATGCCAGTTTATAAAAGGCTCTCTATAGCTTTGTTTTCTGCAGATATGATCACTTCTGGCTCTATATACCTCTATAAACTCCTAGTATGGACCAAGTTGGTTCATTTGTTTTGATTATATATCAACAATTACAAAAAATAATGCTACAGGAGATATTATGACTGTCTTTATTTCTCCATAGCATTGTAGATGCTTTAACATGTCAGCATCAGGTAAATAGGACATGCTGACAACTCCTCTCTTGAGTTTCACCTAATAGAGAGCTACAAAATCACATTAACACATTTTAGCGAGATCGTTGTATCAAATGGGAGATAATGTTTAACAGATGTTGAAAAATACCTCAGGGTGCCTTTAGCTCTGTATCATTTCAGCAATGCTGCGATCACTACTTCAAAAAAATTGTCAGTATGTTATAAATGAACTGCTACAATCACAGCGTTTCATGGATTTAACGAGAACGTAACTGCTGAAGTTGCTGAGCAAAACTAATGAAAAATAAAACTTTTATTACAGAATTTTAAAAAATACGAACAAACAGGAAAATAAGAGGATGCTTAATAAACTATTGCTGCAATGTTTGCTTCACTGACAGACTGGAAAACAAATTTTAAGCTTCTCACACAGTAATTCTCTCTTCTTCTTTTTTTTTTAACGGAAAAACGTATTTGATCCTTTTCGCAAATAATCAACTTCCCCTAAAAATTAATTAATTGTACTTTGATGACAATTTACAGCTGGCCACCTTAAAAACCATAAATTTACTCCAGTTTGACCATTCTTTTGAGCTGCTAGAGACATTGTCCAGTTTAATTATCTAAGACTTTTGTTTAATTTTTTTTAGGGATTGTAAAACACATTTTACTTTAAAATGCCCTCTAATATGAGAATGGCTTTCATATTTTAGTGCATCCAGTAAAGAAACACCAAAGCAAGGCCATATTATAATTGAACCTCATAGGAATGCACAATATTGGGCTTTTGGCCAATATCTGATATGTTAAAACTTATTTGGCCAATAACAGATACCTATATATTTTTTTTCCTTAGACCTGCTTACAGAGACTACAGAGCTTTCTCTGCTGTGGAATTAAAATAAATTATTCTGCATGGTCTCTGTCAGTTTGGCCTGCTACCAAATGCAGATGCCAAAAAGGGGGCTGAAAATTATGTAACACTAACAGCACCTTTTATATCGGTGAGTTATTTTGATGGAATGGCTGATGTCCAATATTTAACTTTATCACTAATATTGACCGATACCAATACCATGCCAATAATATTGTGCATCCCTAAATCTCCACCTTGCACAACTGTAGAAAGTGTTCTTCTGATTGCAGGCCTTATTTTGTAATTTAAACAAACAGATGTATCGTTTTCCCAGTACCCACTTTAGTTTTGTATTCACTTTGTTTAACTTTATACTAAAAATATGGATTACTAAGAGAATTAATCAAAATGAAGCTTATTGCAACTTCTTCTTTAATTTTCTTTAAAGTGCCTCAGCAAAAACTACTGAATAAAACCACTTGTTTCAATTCATCCCAATTTCACGAGCGCCATGCGAACACTGAACTTCATGCCAGGCATTTCAAGAGCTCAGAAGGTTCACTCAGAGCCAGAAATGTGAACCTTATGGTGGGGATGGAAGAAAATCCAAGTTCTGCAGAACTCATCATCATTTAGAGTCAGTCCACAACTGTGTGGTCATCTATCAAATATCTGTTGCCAAAAAAAAAGTGATACTTGCAGCTTTAGAGATTTTCCAGTAGCAATTCTAAAATGAGGTTTTAGCATTCACAATGAGCAATTGTAGAAAATGCTGCATTATGCTACAAAAACCATCACTGGAAAATGCAAATAAAACTACATATTTTATGCTTTGTAATAGTTTCCCCTTCATAATTTAAAAAGGG